GTATATGAGTTTTTTTTATTGTTTTTTCCAGATTTTTTACCTAACTCTGTCTCACAAACTTTTAAAACATTTTAACCCACGCTGATTTGAATGCTCCTGGTAATTCCATCACTTATTATATTTGGTATTATCCCTTGTTAAGATGATAACAGAAGTGTTTGTGCATGTGGGAGAGAGCTTTCTAAATAATACCCAAAATAAGATCTGAAACTCAGACAAATCGAAGAGATGCTGTTTTAGGGTTTTGGGCTGGAGAAAAAGCAGCCAGCAAAAGCGTAGAAAGAGTAAAGGTAATTATGTGTTAGTACTTGTTTTCAAGTAAAATCATTCTTAAAGGATTGTTTTTTACTCACACATTAAGGTAGGAGTTTGAGAAAAAGATTTGACATTTTTTTTATCAGATGCTTCATGTGATGTCATCAGCCCTGTGTTAGAGAAACTACAAACACAAAGACTTAGCATTGTTTTCACACCTCTCTATTAGTCTCTAAACCTTCCACGTCTTTGCCAACATTTTATTCAGTCATTTGCTTTGCTTTTCTCATCTCATGCATCAGGTTTTCTTTTCATCCTCTGTTTACATTGTTATGATTTCCTCCTGGGTTTTCATAAAGTATCATTCAGTTCAAGCACAAGTAAACATACATATTAGTTTCTATCATTATTGGGTTGTTATTTTGGTTTTAGCTCCATTTATTGTGTTCATCGTTTTGACGGAAGCCTAAACTAAACAATGCTGGCAGTTGCTGCTGAGGTCTGCAGCCCCGTCAGTTTCAGGCTGTTTGTGTTTCTGTCAGGGAAAAGGGGATTTGTGCCCCTTCGCTAAAAGTAACCCACAGCAGCTGGATGCGGTTTCCGTCCAGTTAGGCCTACTAATAAATGTTTGCCACTAATACATTCTGACCCCCGCTGTGACTGTGGGGGCAGGGTCACAGTTGGGGTCGACTCCCAAAAGCTGCTTTTAATTATCCAATAATAGGAACACGAAGAATAGTGCTCATGTTTGTTTGGATTTTAGAGTCAAAGTGCTTTGCTGTTTGATATTCAGAAACAGCCTTTGTAATTGGAAAAGGCTGCTGTTGGTTATTACATGGGGAAAAATTAGAGCAATATTAAGATAACTTTTATTTTTTTACCTTGTGTACAAATTACAGTTGACGTAATAAAATAATCCCCTTATTTGTGAAAATATAATTCATCTGACATTAGGAGTGTCTGTTACGGACAAATATTTATTTATTTTTGCATTTTATTTTACCATTAAAGAGGCAAAGCTTGTTCAGAGACGCTTTTTTTCCTGTGTTCGTGTTTAAAGAGACGTGAGTCGTCACTGCTGAGCAGCTGAAGCCAAGAGCGTTTCTTTCTCAGACTTTAACTTGAGTAGAGCTAAAACAAACAGTCTTCCTCCTACTTGTCAAGTGTGAAATAGCTACTGGAGGATTACAGTAATATATCCCGACAGTTTGCAACCAATTATGTCACCCATATGTGTACATATATGTAAACAAGTGGTACTTGTTTTGCATTGTCCCTCTAAAGAATTAACTGCTCTTAAAAGCAATTGTTGTTTGCTCCTTTTCCACTCATCAGCGTTTCACAAGGCTGGACGTCAGAACGAAGCTGTGAAAGTCCTGGAGCAGCTTACACACAATGCAGTGGTGGAGAACAGGTTCAATGATGCCGGCTACTATTACTGGATGCTGTCGATGCAGTGTTTGGACATCGCCAGAGGTGATGATGCCTGTCATAAATAAACCTGTGCTCCAACGAAAACTTGTTTTTTGACGTAAAGCTTGATGCTGCAGTCAGTCATTCAGATTTATTTAGTAGGTGAAGAAATAAATAAATAAAGGATAGAAACAACGCCTCAGTTTTGTTTAGTGTTTATTTCAGAAATGCCAATTTGTAAAACTTCTCCTAATTTAAAATAAATTGAAAAGTATATATATATA